ATCCAAGTGACACTCCGCAAGCCAAGGGTTCTAGAACTACAGGCTAAGGTCTCTACCCTGATCCTCCTCCTCTTCTCTGAGGTCTCTACCCCGATTCTTCTCCTCTTCAACTACCTCAGTTGACTGCATGAGCTGAGTGTGAAAAAGAGAATTGACTGCTCCAACCCCCTAGTCCCTCCTGCACCCCACAGACCTCCTGAGGAGCTGCCACTGCTTGGAGGAAGCAGAGATGCTGATAATCCTAAGACAGGAGCGATGGGCTATGTGCAGTAAGGAGTGGCCCTGTGTGTGTGCTACAATGAGGAGCGTCAGAGTGATCCACATGAGAAAATGACAAGTGAGAGGAGCCTGGGGACTTCCAAGCAACCTCCCTTGGTGCCTGGGGGAGGGATGCCAGGCCCTGAGATGACAGGGTAAAACTTTATTTCCTCCTTCCTGTCCTGTTCCTGTGCCAGCCATTACAGAGCCCCTTGAAACAGCAACTTGATGGTAATTTATGGTGCCCAAACAATATTCTCTGGACAGGTGCCAGGGATGCAATCACAGAGCTCAATAGCTTTTCTAGAGAGAATATGTGTTGGTATCTATCAGTCCCCAACTGGTAAGGCTTCAAGGGGCTGCTTGGAGGAGGTGGTATTCTTCTCAGTAGCATAAATCCGCCAGGGAGAGGAAGAATGTGTGTGTGTGTAACACATTACAAATATCAAGGGTAATGTATAGCACAGGCTTCAAGGAGATGCACACAGGTGTAAAGGCACCAGGTGCGAGGATGCATGCAGGTGCAAAGACACGAGGTATAACTGAAGGTGTAACACAGAGTATGAGGACTAGAGACACTGGGGGCAGGTTGGCGGCGGGGCGGGGGCTGTGGGTGATGCATCATGTGTAATTAGTGGAAATGTTGGAACAATGGAACATGCAGAGCAAAGATGTGTGTGCAGGAGCTGCAGCAAATACCGCAGCAAGTACTGAGTGGAGGTTTCTTACTCACTCTCATATTCACACCTGTGTTTCTCTGTACCAACGAGAGACGGGAGGATCGGGTAGAATAATACTCAGCATGTGACATTCACTGTGTCACAGTCTATCTTCTGCTGTTACAACAAAATACCACAGACTGCATAATTTATGTAGAAAAGATGTTTATTTGGCTCATGGTTCTAGAAGCTGGGAAGTCCAAGAGCATGGCACTGGCATCTGGTGAGGGTCATCCTGTGGTGGAAGGTATCACATGGCATCTATGCCCACCATAAGAGACAGAGAGAAAAGAGACCAAACTTATCCTTTTCTCAGGAGCTCACTCCTGCAATAACAGCATCAGTCCACTCATGAGTGCAGAGTCCTCCTGGCTAACCCCCTCTTAAATGTCTCACTTCTTAATACCATTATAACGGCCATTAAGTTTCCAATATATGAACTTAAGAGGGACACATTCAAGCCATAGCATTATATGTATAAGAGCACAGCTTGGCCGGGCGTGGTGGCTCAAGCCTGTAATCCCAGCACTTTGGGAGGCTGAGGTGGGCAGATCACCAGAGGTTGGGAGTTCGAGACCAGACTGACTAACATGGAGAAACCCCATCTCTACTAAAAATACAAAATTAGCCGGCCATGGTAGCACATGCCTGTAATCCCAGCTACTCGGAAGGCAGGAGCTACTCAAGGCAGGAGAATCACTTGAACCCAGGAGGTGGAGGTTGGGGTGAACTGAGATCGCGCCATTGCACTCCAGCCTGGACAACAAGAGTGAAACTCCGTCTCAAAAAAAAAAAAAAAAAAAAGAGAAGAGTACAACTCAAGGACCACTTTAATCACTCTCTTTTTTTGACCTCCTAAGACTGAACACGTGCCAGTCTATATTCCTGAGAGGATATATGGTGAAATGGTTTTTAGCATGAGCTTTAGAATCAATGATTGGAGTTTAAACCCTGCTCTACCATGTACTTGCTACAAGTCTTAGACAAATCTTAAACCTCCCTATGACCCAGTTTTCTCATCAGCAACATGGAGAGAAGGAAAGCTACCTACCGCTTGTGGTGGTTATGGCAATTAGAGAAGATCCAGGAGTAAATCACACACATAAAGGGGCACATTCCCAAATGTCAGCTCTGTGCTAACTGGAGGAGAGCAGAAATGACATCCTATTGCGTCATCTCAGAGTCCTGCAGGACAGAGAAGCTGGGCTCTTCCAAAGGCTTGCTGTATCCCAAGGGCAGAATCCTTGCTGGGAAGGCACCTTTTCCCCTCTTTGCAACTCCACCTCTCTAAGCCCTTGCATTCACCTCCAGTGAACCTGACAGGGGAAGAGCTGGGGCAATATGAATGAGATTCACTTCCAGAGGCACATCCCATGGACAAAAAAGCCCGGGGGGGCAACAGGATGGAAACACAGTTGAAGCCATTCCATACCCAGATAGATGCAGGCCCTGAGAACCTAGGGAGGCAGGCAAGCCCATCCCTGCCAGGGACTCCACAAGCCCTACCGGCTGCTTCCAGTCCTCACCCCAGGATCCCTCTCCTGGGGTTCAAACCCTGGCTGGGCACGGTGACTCACCTGTAATCCCAGCACTTTCAGAAGCCAAGGCGGGCGTATCACAAGGTCAGGAGATCGAGACCATCCTGGCTAACACGGTGAAATCCTGTCTCTACTAAAAATACAAAAAAATAAATAAATAAGCCAGAGGCGGGGTGGACACCTGTAGTCCCAGCTACTCAGGAGACTGAGGCCAGAGAATGGTGTGAACCCAGGAGGCAGAGTTTGCAGTAAGCCGAGATTGCGCCACTGCACTCTAGCCTGGGCGACAGAGCGAGACTCCGTCTAAAAAAAAAAAAAAAAAAAACAAAACAAAAAAACCCACTTGCACTCAGGGGTGTGCTGGAACCCACCCATAAGACCGATATTTGTGTCTCTTCCCAGCCCCATGTTCAGTGACATCACACTGGTAGCTTGAAATCAGCCAAGGTGGAAGCATTTACACGAGAAAAATTGGCAAATTTCTATGAGACTGGCAGAGCTGGGGGTAGATACAAAAGAGAATAAAAACGTCAAAGAGCCGTTGGGAGAAGAGAAGAGAAAGGATGGCCATGGGTTAAAGTGTTCTCTGTTGACCTCAGAAATATGGGGACTTTGACACCCAAGGCTCAAGAACTCAGGCCTGGATGGGCGCGGGGGCTCATGCCTGTAATCCTAGCACTTTGGGAGGCCTAGGCGGTTGGATCACTTGAGGTCAGCAGTTCGAAACCAGCCTGGCCAACATGGGGAAACACCGTCTCTACTGAAAAAAAAAAAAAAAATACAAAAATTAGCTGGGCATGGTTGCAGGTGCCTGTAATCCCAGCTACTTGGGAGGCTGAGGCAGGAGAATCGCTTGAACCTGGGAGGCAGAGGTCGCAGTGAGCCGACATCATGCCACTGCACTCCAGCCTAAGCAACAGAGCAAGACTTCGTTCTCCAAAAAAAAAAAAAGGACTCAGACCTGGCACCATGAAAAACACAACCAGACAAAAAGCCAAAATACCCTCAAAAGCTGTGGGAGAAGCAGCGAGAGAACGTTTTCTGCGTTCTTCCACTCTGCCGGGGTGTCTGGCCAGGTCACAGCAGCCTGTCTGGGACACAGTGGGGACGCAGATACCCTTCTTCACACCTGGGGTGCTCAGCTCCCCACTACCCAATAGTGCTGAGTGCTGACACCACACACCACCCTCCGCAAGGGAACTGCCTGGGGCACAGTCACACCCCTTCCCAGAGAAAGCCCACATCCAATGCCTAGTCCACACAGCAGCAGAGCGTAGAGGCCAGGATTTGACTGTGACAAGGAGCTGACTCCAAGGGCTGAGACTGATTCTTCAGCATCACCTCTTCCACTAAAGGTCAGTCTTCCACTAAAGCAGTCACGCAAAGGCCTGGCTGCTTGTGGCATCTCTGAAGAGTTGTCCCAGCTCCAGAGCTCACCATGGGATCGGCTGAGGCCACTATCACTACATCATCACAGCTCAATGTCTCCCTCTGCCCATCCCTGCACCCCTCACTCTTTCCCTCCCAAGCATTGTTCCTGCTGTCTCTAAAAAACCTCCCGCATGCAACTCTCCAGCTCGAAGTCTGTCTCCTGGGAAACCCAAGACACAGACACCCTCTACCCCACTCCTGTAAGAAGGGAAAATGATGTTGACTGGAGATTGTGCTGCAGAGACCCCCTGCCCAGGAGACCTAACGCCCTCCCTACTCCCACACCACGTCATTCTCTGTAATGGCAGAGGGGTGGGGGTGCGAGTTGTAATATGCTGGGTACCTGCAGACAGCTGGTGCAGGGTGCTTCCTCAGAACAGGTGCAACACAGTGTGTTTTGCTGGGGAAAAGGGATGTCAGGCAATCTATGACGGGGGTGCAGTGAGTCTGGGGAGAAACAGAATGAAGTGTGTGTATGTGTGTGTGTGTGAGAGAGAGAGAGCTGGTGTTTGTGTTCCAGGCTATAGCAAGGGGAGGGAGACAAAAGAATAAAACCTGCTTGTTGGCTGAGTGCAACATGCCTGTAATCCCAGCACTTTGGGAGGCCGAGGCAGGCAGATCACCTGAGGTCAGGAGTTTGAGACCAGCCTGCCAACATGGTGAAACCCTGCCTCTACTAAAAATACAAAACTTAGCCGGGCATGGTGGCACGTGCCTGTAATCCCAGCTACTCGGGAGGCTGAGGCAGAAGAATCTCTTGAACCTGGGAGGTGGAGGTTGCAGTGAGATTGCACCATTGCACTCCAGCCTGGGCAACAGAGCAAGACTCTGTTTCAAAAAACAAAAAACAAAAAAACCCTGCTTGTTGGATGTAGCAACACACAGGACCTCTGCAGCAAGAGTCACCTGTGCTGTTGTCTATGCAGAGATGTGAGCATGCAGATACACACATCCTTTCTACCTCCAGGCACTAAACACATGCTGTCCCAAACATGCACCCACCTTCTAGGTCCTGGTTCTTGGGTGAGGAGGGGAAGAACTGAGCCCGACTGACCTTTAGTGGAAGAAGTGATGCTGAAGAATCAGTCTCAGCCCTTGGAGTCAGCTCCTTCTCACAGTCAAATCTTCTGCACACTCAAATCCTTTACACGGTCAAAGCCTCTACGCGCTGCTGCTCACCTTTCCATAACCCGTCAGAGTTCACAACGTGCACTTGTTCATTCCTCAAATACTGACTGGGAGTCTGAGATGTACGCTCATTGTACCAGGTGCCAGACTCGCATGCAGCCCGTCTCCTGACTTCAAGCTCATGCTGGCTCCACCTGACCGCATCATGTGTTCTAAAGGGACAAGCCAGGGATCCTGGATGCAAGAACTGGTTGGCCTCAGCCTCAGCAAATGAATTCATCCCATTTGCCATCTTTCTGGCTCAGAAACTCCATTTATGATCTGCGCCCCAGCTCAGTCTCCTCCAGAGGAGGCTGCACAGATGGCGAGCTTCCCCACCACCTGGAAGAAGGGAGTTCCTGGCCACCCTGCCAGTGGGAGGACTTTGCTGAACAAACTCCAGGCAGTGGACCGTGTCCACACTGCGTGCTTCTAAGTGGAGGCCAGTTTGCTTCTTACCTCCTCCAGTCATTCCCCTGCCCAATCTGGAAGCTCACTGAGAGCACACAGGCGAACCTTGCCCCACCTTGGGGGCAACCGTGTTACGTGTCAACTTGCTGACTGGAAATCAGTTTCTCTTCTGAGGTGCTGGAGCGGAGCATGGGCATTGACTTTTACTGACTGAGAGTATGTGCTCAGTCAGAATAAGGGAAGTACTCCTGATTACCTTTTACATTAATCCAGAATTTCACTAAACACTCAGAGGCGAGACCTGCGTATGCCACTGGAGTCTTCCATCTTCCCAGGGCTGTGGCACGGTTCTGTGACATCTGCCACTCAGCAGCCTGGATTTTTTTTTTTTTAGACAGAGTCTCACTCTGTCACCCAGGCTGGAGTGCAGTGGCACAATCTTGGCTCACTGCAACCTCCGCCTCCTGGGCTCAATCAAGCCATCCTCTTACTTGAGTTGCCCATCACCACGCCCAGCTAAATTTTTTGGTTTTTGAGATGGAGTCTCGCTCTGTCACTGAGGCTGGGGTACAGTGGCACGATCTTGGCTCACTGCAACTGCCACCTCCTGGGTTCAAGTGATTTTCCTGCCTCAGCCTCCTGAGTAGCTGGGATTTCAGGTGCCCGCCACCATGCCTGGCTAATTTTTGTATTTTTCATAGAGACGGAGTTTCACCATGTTGGCCAGGCTGGTCTCGAACTCCTGACCTCAAGTGATCTGCCCACCTCGGCCTCCCAAAGTGCTGAGATTACAGGTGTGAGCCACTGCGCCCTGCAATTTTTTGTATTTTTTGTAGAGACAGCCTCACTATGTTGCCCAGGCTGGTCTCAAACTCCTGAGCTCAAGTGACCCGCCCTCCTCAGCATCCCAAAGTGCTGGGATTACAGGCCTGAGCCACCACACCCGGCCTGAAGCCTGGATTTTAGTGCCAGGCAGGCCTGGGTCTGGATCCCCCAGATTCCTTAACTTTTAAGGCTCGAATGAATACTGGATGTGGGAAGTGCCACCTTGGCACATGGTATAGTGTGAGTGCCCTATCAGTGCACAGTGGAAAGGAAGTGCTCAGTCAGCCGCCACTCATTACATTATTGCCTCATTGCTGCCCTGGAGAGAAGCCCCTGGTTACAGAAGTGATCAAACCCATTAAATGCCCACTCCATCAAGTCCCATCCTTTGGCCCATGGCTCATGTCAGAGGGCAGGCTAATTTCTAAAGTCCACCCACTGCTTTAAGGCCTGCCAAATGCAAGAGTCTCTTGGATCATGATAAAATGGAAACAGAAAACACCAAGAGACAGAGGTCAGGTAAAGGGCTCCGCTTGCCCATGAACCCCTGCCATTCCATGCAGGTGCAGGTCTTTGGCCTTCCAGGAAATTCTGGTCCTTGAGCTGGATGATGGGGTGGACAGCAGCCACCTGCAGCTGAGTTCTTGCAAGGACATCATAGGAGTTGTTTAGAAGGATAAACAGGAGAATGTGTCCATCCTGATTTTGGATCGGAACAGAAATTATGACCCATAGTGACATCAAACCTAGATTGATTTTACCTCACTTGGAATATACCAAGTTTCTCTCCTATCTTTGTTCTCCTTTATGGATACTTTTACTGTAAAAATGTTAAGTGATATGAAATATAAGCTCTATAAATATATTTGGAACTCAAGCCATATGGCTCAACAGGAAAGAGATAGCTGTTTGCTGGGCTCTTTGGTTATAAAGCTGCTCAAAGCCCCCATATCAGAAGTTAAAAGATAGGAAGTCAATAGAGCATCCTAAGCAATTCAGTGCACATCTTTAGGCAACTTACTAATTGTTGTTGTTGTTCAGCCACCGTTCATTGAGTATATTCCATGTGAGACACTGTGGTAAGTGAGATGAGGGTTGAGTAAAATATTGAATACAGGACATTTTATATTATTATTTACCAGTTGTGTTAGTCCATTTGCACTGCTATAAAGAAATACCTGACCAGGCGTGGTGGCTCATGCCTGTAATCCCAGCACTTTGGGAGGCCGAGGCAGACAGATCACAAGGTCAAGAGATACAGACCAACCTGGCCAACATAGTGAAACCCCATCTCTACTAAAAATACAAAAATTAGCTGGGTGTGGTGGCATGTGCCTGTAGTCTCAGCTACTTGGGAGGCTGAGGCAGGAGACTTGCTTGAACCCGGGAGGTGGAGGTTGCAGTGAGCCGAGATCACACCACTCTACTCCAGGCTGGTGACAGAGCGAGATTCTGTAGGAAAAAAAAAACAACAAACAAACAAACAAAAAAAACCTGGGTAATTTATAAAGAAAAGAGGCTTACTTGGCTGACAGTTCTGCAGGCTGTACAAGCAGCATTGTGCTGGCATCTGCTTGGCTTCTGGTGAGACCTCAGGAAGCTTTCAATCATGGCAGAAGGCAAATGGGGAGCTGGCATATCACATGGGGAGAGTGAGCAAGAGAGAGAGACGGGGAACAGGCGGAGGTGCCAGGCTCTTTTAAACAACCAAGGCTGGGTACAGTGGCTCACACCTATAATCCCAGCACCCTGGGAGGCCAAGGTGGGTGGATCACTTGAGGTCAGGAGTTCGAGACCAGCCTGGCCAACACGGTGGAAACCCCGCCTACTAAAATATAAAAATTAGCCCGGCATGGTGGCGCACGCCTGTAATCCCAGCTACTCAGGAGGCTGAGGCAGGAGAATTGCTTGAACCCTGGAGGCGAAGGTTGCAGTAGGCCAAGATTGCATTGCTGCACTCCAGCCTGGGTGACAGGGTGAGACTCCATCTCAAAAAATAAAAATAAAAATAAAATGAAATAAAAATAACCAGACCTCACGTGAACTAACAGACAGAACTCACTTATTACAGGGAGGACAGCTCCAAGACATACATGAAGGATCTGTCTCCATGACCCAAATACCACCCGCTAGGCCCACCTCTAGCACTGGAGGTCACATTTCAATATGAGATTTGGAGAGGATGAAATAACTTCCCATATCACCAGTTGTTAACATTTTTGCCACATTACACTCTCTCCCTCCCTCCTTCTCTCTGAAATACTCAAATGGTTTCTGAACCATTTGAATTAATTTGCAGACATCATGACACTTTACTCCTAAATGCTTCAGTGTATCTCTCCTAAGAAGAAGGTTTATTCTCCTAATAGAACTACCATACCACTATCAATCCCGAGATAGGTAACGCTGACATAATAATATTATCTAAAATGCATTACATTGTCACATTTCCCCAGTTTTCCCAAGAATGTACTTTGTAGCTCTTTGTTTTTTAAAAGTAACCCAGTATCCACTCGTGGATCCCACATTGCATTTGGCATCTTCCTAATGTTTTTTTCTGGCTTTTTCTTTGAGACAGAGTCTTGCTCTGTTACCCAGGCTGGAGAGCAGTGGCACAATCTCAGCTCACTGAACCTCTGCCTCCCAGGTTCAAGTGACTCTCCTGCCTCAGCCTCCCAAGTAGCTGGGATCACAGGCACCTGCCACCATGCCTGGCTAATTTTTGTGTTTTTAGTAGAGAAGGAGTTTCACCATATTGGCCAGGCTGGTCTCTAACTCCTGACCTCAAGAGATCTGCCCATCTTGGCCTCCCAACGTGCTGGGGTTACAGGTGTGAGCCACCACGCCCAGCCTCTGGGCCAATGGAGGTGGGCAGATCTCTTGAGGCCAGGAGTTTGAGACCAGGCTGGACAACATGGTGAAACCCCACCTCTACTAAAAATACAAAAATTAGCCAGGCTTGGTGGTACATGCCTGTACTCCCAGCTACTCTGGAGGCTGAGGCACAAGAATCGCTTGAACCCGGGAGACAGGTTGCAGTGAACTGAGATCATGCCACTGCGCTCCAGCCTGAGCAACAGAGTCCCCCCCCCCAAAAAAAAAAAAATAGAGCTCTGCAAAGAAAGATCTAGAGCTCTTAGCAGCTTTTGAGAAAGAACCTTTGGCCTCAAACCAAAAAGCAAAAATCTTTCCACAAAAGACCCTTGGATGCCGCATAGCACTCACCCTCACTACAGATGGGCAACTTATTTCTTAGAGGGGCATATGGGCTTCCAATTATTCCAATAGATTAATGCCATCTGCTCCCTACATGAAGGAAAACTGGTTAAGAGCTGGTGTCAAGGGAGTCTTAGGCCCTGATCAGCACTTTGGGAGGCCCATGTCTTCTGAAGGCCAGTCTGTGCTGGCGCTGGAGATGTAGAAGAAAGGAGGGAGGAAAAAAAAAGAAAAGCTGCCCTCACAGGGTTTACAGTATAGCTGGGGAAAAATAGACAGAGACAGAGAAACAGGGAACTAAAATAAGATTAGACTGCTGAAGGATAACGTAGCTGCAGGGGCATGCAACTTAACTTTGGGAGTGAGGGCAGAAGTCATACCTAAGCTGAAGCCTGAAGGAAAATTCACCAGCTAAACACAGAGGAGTATTCTCAGCAGGAGAAACAGCCCATGTGCAGGTCCAGAAGTGAGGAGAACTGAGTGTGCAAATCACATGCACGAGCTCAGCTGTGTAGCAGGAGTGGGGGAGCCATGAAAGCTGAGACTGGAGGGCTGGGCCAGGGCCAGGGCTGCCCACACTGGGCCTTACAACACATGGGGAGACGCTTAGACTTCCTCCTGAGACCAGCGAAGAGCCACTGAGGTTTCACAACAACCATCCCAGCTCCATGTGGAATGATGGAGCACGTGCACAGAGGAAGTCCAGCAGGAGGCTTCATAAGGTGCAGGCAATGGCCTGGATCTAAGCTAGAAGCTAGGAGATGGAGAGGCGGGAATACACGTAACATGTATTTTGGAGATAGGAGCCGAGGCTATCTCTACCTATGTCTAGTTAGAATAGACATAGTGAATAAAGGAAGAAATCCAGGATTTCTTTCCTTAATTAAAGACACCTAGGTCTCTTTAATTAAAATGATGCTTTAGAAGAAGTGTGGTCAAACTACAACCTCAGGGCCAGTGTTCTGTTTTTATAGATAAAGTTTTATGGGCACACAACCACAACCACATCCATTTGTTTATATATTGTCTATGCCTGCTTTCACCCTACAGCAGCAGAGCTGAGAAGTTTTGACAGAGACCATAAACTGCAAAAGCTGAAAATATTTATTTTCTTTTTCTTTATTTTATTGTATTTTTTTTGAGACAGATTTTTGCTCTTGTTGCCCAGGCTGGAGTACAATGGTGTGACCTTGGCTCACCACAACCTCCGCCTCCCGGGTTCAAATGATTCTCCTGCTTCAGCCTCCCGAGTAGCTGCGATTACAGACATGTGCTACCAGGTCTGGCTAATTTTGTATTTTCAGTGCAGATGCGGTTTCTCCATGTTGATCAGGTTGGTCTTGAACTCCTGACCTCAGGTGATCCACCTGTCTCGGCCTCCCAAAGTGCTGGAATTACAAGTGTGACCCACCATGCCTG